TCTGCCAAAGTTGAGCACGTGAAGCTTGCAGCTCCCACTACATCGCTCTGACCAAGAAAGGTAAAAGAATAGCAAAGAAACAGCACTAACAAAAGTTTAGACACATAAATTTTGAAGGTCTAGCTACTATATTATTACCCACAACTGTAAAGGAACAGTACCACTGCTGGATAATTGGAAAGTCCCTGTGTGTCAACCTCTGTGCTTCGTGGCAAGGTAGACTAGCAAACATGCCCAACCTTTACTCACATTCGAGAAAACACTCCCAATAAGATTGCTTGCTCCAAAATCAAAGAGGCACCGTCCTCCGAATCTCGAGAGCCAGACTCCCAACATGACTACTTTCTCAAAATCGAAGAGAGGGTAAAGGAACAGTACCATTGCTGGATAATTGGAAAGTCCCTGTGTGTCAACCTTTGTGCTTCGTGGCAAGGTAGACTAGCAAACATGCTCAACCTTTACTCACATTCGAGACAACACTTCCAACAAGATTGCTTGCTCCAAAATCGAAGAGGCACCGCCCTCCGAATCTCGAGAGCCAGACTCCCAACATGATTACTTCCTCAAAAATCGAAGAGACACTGCTCTCCGAATCTCGAGAGTCATACCCCCAGCATGATTGCTTTCTCAAAAATCGAAGAGGCATCGTTCTCCGAATCTCGAGAGCCAGATACCACAGACCACTTTTTCAAAAGTGCTCTGACAGAGTTAAAACATGTGAAACTGGCAGCTCCCACTACCGTGCTATGACCAAGCAGGGTAAAGGAATAGCATTACTACTTGTTGTTCGGGAGACTCCTATATATGTCGACCTTCATCCCCAACGGACAGGCAGACCTGCAAAAATGCTCAACCCTTCATCATATCTGAGAGGGCACTCCCAACGAAGCCTTTCGAAATATTCAGCTTTCTTTTCCCCCCGATAATACCTTTGCAAAACAAGCTATACTAGAGCAAGAATATCTCATATCATCAGGGTTAAAAGCAAGAGTATCCCATATCATGCTTTTTCCCTGTCTTTTCTTTTGGCCTTGTTTTTACCTGCAAGACAAGGAGAAAGAGAGCAATCAGTCAGCACTTGGAATCAAGCTTCCAGCCAGGAACTGACTGCCTGGAACCCCTTACCTGATTACTTACATGGCATTGCTCTCGAGTACTCATCTTCAACATCTTATGTTTCCAGGGAAGATTCCGCATCTGCTTGAGGAACAGATAGGGCAAGTGCGAAGGATACAAGGAAGCATGTGGAGACAAGCGTAACAGCACACGTGCCGATACATTCATTACTCTGTCAAAAGCAAAAGTATCCCATATCAGCAGGGTGGAACGTACTCTAGATTTGATGGACTTGTTTTGACCCTCAAATTCTTCAGTCGGCCTTATACTCTGGAGGAAACCAGAAAACCCTCCAGCTCAGTTCAAGAATAAGCCTGTGGAAAGTTACTTCTTCAAAAAGCAAAAGTATTCTCATATCATCTCTTCTCATTTTTCTTCTCTTTATCCTTCATGCTGCTTGCAAGATGGGGAGAAGGTGAACAATCAGTCGGAGCTCTGATTGCTTACCTTGTCTGTCACCTCTTTCAGCAGACCCCCTAGCTCGGCGACTTGGGGGACTCCTACTACATGGTTTGTATCGCGCTTGACCAAGCCTGAAACTACAAGTAAGCTTCAAGTGAAATTGATACATTACCTTGTGCATCTCCACCAGTTAAAGATACCACCCCTGGATGGAGGAAGAGTACTTCCAGAGAAGATGCCACATCTACCTATGAGACAGATAAGGCAAGTCAAAACGACACCACACTCCGATACTTAGAAGTTTCGTGATTACGAGATCATTCTCCCACAATATTTCCTAATGTCATTTGTACTAAATCATTCACTTGTACTCACTAAATGAGAGCTTGAACCTATGTACTTGTGTAAACCCTTCACAATTAATGAGAACTCTTCTATTCCGTGGACGTAGCCAATCTGGGTGAACCACGTACATCTTGTGTTTGCTTTCCTATCTCTATCCATTTATATACTTATCCACACTAATGACCGGAGCAATCTAGCGAAGATCACAAAAAGCGATCGTTTTCGCTACCTAGGATCTATCTTGCAAGAGAACGGAGAATTAGATGGAGATCTCAACCATAGAATACGAGCTGGATGGAAAGAGTGCATCCGGCGTGTTGTGTGACCGTCGTAGGCCATTGAAGCTCAAGGGAAAATTTTATAGGACGGCAATAAGGCTAGCGATGTTGTATGGCACAGAATGTTGGGTGGTGAAGCATCAACACGTACACAAAATGGGTGTAGCGGAGATGAGGATGCTTCGTGGAATGTGTGGGCACACGAGAAAGGATAAGATTGGGAATGAGGATATCCGAGGTAAAGTAGGAGTAGCCGAAATTGTAGGAAAGATGAGAGAAAATCGGCTCCGGTGATTTTGAACATGTGCAAAGAAGGCCGACTGACGCTCCGGTTCGAAGATGTGACTACGGGACAGAGGTTCAGGGCCGAAGGGGTAGAGGAAGACCTAGGACAACTTTGGAAGAGACTCTAAGAAAAGACTTAGAGTACTTGGATCTAACGGAGGACATGACACAAAACCGAGCGCAATGGCGTTCTAGGATTCATATAGCCGACCCCACTTAGTGGGAAAAGGCTTTGTTGTTGTTGTTGTTGTTGTTGTTGTATCTGTAAGCACATCCTTTTTTCTTCACCCTCAGTTTGTTTTTACTTACTTTTAATTTTGTGTAAAAGACTGTTTATTACCCTCATCTTTCATGGTTTTCAACATTTAGTACATCAAGTTTTTTTCGTCCCAGAGTCATACCTAAAGTGTTAATTTTGAGACAGTCTCATACATCCGTTAGTCAAACTGTTAATTCTCCCGTTAAGTAATGACGCGGCGCCCATGTGGACAATGATTGAACGCCACGTGTCATTAAAAATATTAAAATAATTAATTAAATATATTAAAAAAAACCATCCCTTCTCCTTCCCCCCCCCCCCCCCCGCCGCCCCCTAACCCAGAAGAAGAAGAAGAAGAAGGAGGAAGAACAAAAAAAAAAAACTGCAACCCAGAAGGAGGAAGAAGAAGAAAAAAAAAATAGCTGAATCTGCAACCTAGAAGAAAAGGAAGGAGGAAGAAGGAGGAAGAAGAAGAAGAAGGAAAAAAAAACAAAAAACGAATCTGCAACCCAGAACAAGAAGGACGAGCAAGAAGAAGAAGAAGAAGAAGAAGAAGGAAAAAAACAAAGCCAAATCTGCAACCCAGAAGAAGAAGGGGGAGGAAGAAGGACGAAGAAGAAGAAGAAGGGAAAAAAAACAAAACAAAACAAAACAAAAAACGAATTTGCAACCCAGAAGAAGAATGAGGAGGAAGAAAAGGAAAGAGGAAGAAGAAGGAAGAAGGAAGAAGGAGAAGAAGAAGGAAAAAAAACAAAAAACAAAAAGCCGAATCTGCAACCCAGAAGAGGAGGAAGAAGAAGAAGAAGGAAAAAAAAAACAAAAAACAAATATGCAACCCAGAAGAAGAAGGAGGAGGAAGAGGAAAAATGAGGAAGAAGAAGAAGAAGAAGAAGGAAAAAAAAACCAAAAACAAAAAACCGAATCTGCAACCTAAGGGAGGAAGAAGAAGAAGGAGGAAGAAGAAGGAAAAAAAAAATCGAATCTGCAACCCAGAAGAAGAAGAAGAAGAAGGAGGAGGAGGAGGAGGAAGAAGAAGGAAAAAAAACAAAAAAAAAAAAAACCGAATCTGCAACCCAAAAGAAGAAGAAGAAAAAAACCTGAATTTGCAACCCAGAAGAGGAAGAAGAAGAAGGAGGCGGAGGAGGAGGAGGAGGAAGAAGAAAAAGGAGAAGGGTTAGGTGTGTGGGGAGGGTGAGTACAGGTTGCAGAGTAGAAAAGGGAGGGTGGTGGTGCAGGTGCAGAAGAGAAAAGGGAGGGAAGGAGAGGGTTGCAGAAGAGGGAAGGGAGGGTGAGGGTGGGGGTGTGGGGAAGACGAAGAGGTGGGTGATGGAAGGGTGGGCACGGGTGGGATTTGGGGAAGATGAAGGTTTTTTTTATTTATTATTATTATTATTTTTAATATATATATATATATTTATTTATTTTTTAATTTTATTTATTTATTTATTTTATAAATAATTTATTTTTAATTTCCACGTGGATGACACGTGGCGCCCAGTCATTGTCCACATGGGCGCCACGTCACAGTTAACGGGAGACGTAATAGTTTGACTAACGAATGTATGAGACTGTCCCAAAATTTACACTTTAGGTATGACTCTGGAATGAAAAAAACTTGATGTATTAAATGTTGAAAACCACGAAAAATAAGGGTAATAAACAGTCTTTTACCCTTTAATTTTTATATAACTTGAATAATTTGTAAGCACATTCTTTTTTCTTTCACCCTCAATTTGCTTTTACTTAATTTTTAATTTTCATATAACTTGAATAAGCAAGTACCAGTTGATAAATTAGCATTGGTATCTGCAGCATTCTGAATGCAAACAATCACACGGGAGAATTGCCTGGGGCTCTCACTAGTCTGACTGAGTTAATAAAATTGTAACTGTTTGTACCCTTTTTCTTCCTTATTGTAAATCTGTTAGAAATCTTCGATTTATTGTATTCCTTAATTGCATTTATGCAGGATTAATAGTAACAACTTAACTGGAAAAGTACCTGATTTTTTTTCAAAGTTGGAAGCAACGGCAGAAACTTGTGAACAATATTTTCCTATTCCATATTCTAAATTTTTAGCAATGTTCTAAAAACTGGCCTAGGCGGCAAAGGCCGGCCCCGATTTTGGGCAAATCGTTTTGAAAAATCGGTCTGGAGCTAGGAGGTTCTAGGCGTCTCCTAGGCGGAGAGCTAGGCAGCACCTAGGCGGTTTTTTATATATATATTTTTTATTAATTGTTTGTTTTTTTCTTTTTTGGTTTCATGGTGTAATAAAGAGTAAAAAGATTGAAAACTTAAAATAAATATATGGTCACCTTACATGGCTCCTCCAACCTATAGGAGAAGCATCGTGAGCCGGATCGGTGAAGAAGTTTCTTCTTCGACTCATTGATCGAGTTTGCTTTCACTTTTTTCTGTTGAATTAAAAAAAAACGTATTAGTTTAGATATTTATAACAACTGAATGAAAAAATGAAAATTTTATATAAAATTGTAAATTTTTTTATTAATATATTATTGAAATATATATTATACATGCCATGTATTTCTGGTCTTGAAAATGGCCGCAAAGCCACTCCCATTCATCCCGACGGTCCACTAACTCTATAGGGCACCTAACTTCTAGAGCGACCTCCAAACCGTCATATAGCTCATAATGATTGTGGAGGTCACTCTTCCATTGAGTGAACCTACCAGTGCAAAGGTCGTTGATGTACTCCATTTGATTGGCATCGAGGTTGGAGAGCTCATAGTGATGCTGCAAAACTCAACAAATAAGTAGTAGTTAAAATTTATAATGTTTGTATACTTTAATAAAAATTTAATATTTGAGGTTAAAAATACTTACCGATAATTCATGAAGAACGGCGTCCTTGACTTCTTGTGGGACAACTCTACATGACTCCCACATGAGGGGGCAATGGTTCCTGATAACCGACCCAATGTCGGTGGCCAACGCGTTGTGCTACTCCTTTGTTGCAACAGTACAATGTCGAGGATCCCATGTAATGGTGATCTTCTCAGTCGTAGTGCAAGTGGTTTGTGACGTTTTAAGGAGTATGATGTTTTTTATACGAAGCACACAATAATAAAGCGCTAGTAATAATAATAGTAATAGACTAATAATTGTCAGTCATCTTGATCTTTGCTTTATATTCTTGTTTAATTTTTTTTTAATTATTCTGTAGTTATAATATTTACTGTAATAATTAGGGTGTATGATGTCGCAAGTATATTTAATAATGATGGGGCAATGAGGCCGCACGTGCTGGCTGACTAGGGTTTCCGGCGACGTGTGCTGTTGAATGTTAGACTTGGAAATCGAATCCCTATTCACCTTCGTTTACGGAGCTTCCTTTCTTTCCATATAGACCATCGCTGTTGATAGCTTGTTTCTAGAGAGAGAGAGAGAGAGAGAGAGAGAGAGATGGTATTACCATTTGGCTCTTTATTAATCTATGTGCATTGGAGATGGACGGTGAATAATACCATACCTAGGCAGATGCTGCAAATTTTCTGGTTGAATACATTACTCAACTAAAATTCAAGAGAATTTCAAAATGAAGATATTTTTCATATCTATTTCAATTCAAAAATAAAATTTTAAATAGAAATAGTGAAATTTTAAATAAAAAAAACTTTGCTGAACAATCTATTAAAAAAAAGTAGTACTGTTTAATTCCTAAACTCAATTAGTAGTACTTCTAGAGTCCACTCCTTCCCCATACTACTAGTGAAGGAAAAACGTAAAGACTCTATGAAAGCAGCCCAAGCGAGATTTACCATATCCATGTGAATTATGTCCTAGGTTTTTTTTTATTTTTATTTTTTGCAAACGATATTTTTTTACACTAAACCGGATGGGATGGGCTTAGTCTCATATATGATTTTGTGTTCATTATTTATTCCGTTTATGCTTTTTAATAGGTAAAATATATGATTTTGTCTCTTCAGTTTCCAACACTTAATTTATGTTGGATATTTATCAACAATAAATGGCAAATTTATATATATATATATATATAAATAAATTCGAATATGCTAATAAATAATAAATGAAACTCAGTAAATTGACAGATTATGAACGAATTAATATCCAATAAGTAAAACAATGATCAAGGCTTGCGTACTGTAATGTCCTTAAACAAAATTTCATTCCTACTCTGTGTTTTTAGTTAGATGGAAGTTTGCTTCACCAGGATTTAACGAATAAATCAGGATTCCAGCAACAGAAATCTTGGTTTCTAGCGAATGTCTTTGTGGTTTTCTCATAGTGATACGATTGTATCAAGGATGATTTTCTATATCTGGAATGAGATGCATATGTATATATTTTTAATATGCATTAGCAACATGTATAAGATTTGGAGGTCACTCTTCATTTCACACGAATATATGACTTCATCTTTTTCTTAGCGTTTCTCAACGTTCACAAACTTCCTTTGAAATGATAAATCTTTTGAGAATAAAAAATTTGAAATTAATTTAACAAATTAATCATTGAATTTAATACTAAAGTCCGAGCTTCAAAGCTCAAGGCCCATGTTTTGACAATTAAATATATAATTATCACACATCAAATCTCAAACCCAAGGTTCAAACCCAATTTTTCTCTCCATGATCCATCTCTCCAATTACTTTGTAAGAGGGACGATGTTATAAAATGTGAGAAAGTTTTCAACTTGACCAATGTGGGACAAATAAGATGGAAGGAAATTTTCACTAAAATACTACAACAATTTGTCCTTGTTCGTTTTGTTTTTTTGGGTTCGACCTGCATTGAAAAATCTTTCGTGGGTGTAAGTGATATAAATAGGAAGATTTCGAACTTCGAGAGTTCTTCCAATATTGAAAAAACTTTGTTATATCACAAACTAGTTGTCATTGGCTATTGACTATCAGCCTTTGTTTTCCTTCGGCTAGGTTATTATCCTACTGGATTTTTCCTAGTAAGGTTTCAACGAAGGCAACTATGCACATCCAACACCATCGTTAATGATCCGGAAGAATATTTCACTCTTTTCTCTTTCGTTCTGGTTTTGTCCCACTAGGCTTTTAGAGCAAAATTTTTAGTGAGACAACTATATCATTGTAAGGTGGACATCCAAACAGAAGTATTGTAAATGCATGGTTGGTGAATGACCACCATACCTCATATTAACTTCAACCTTTCAATTCCTTGAAACCAATGAGTAAGCATTTGCAATTTGTGCTATGTTAGAGCATTCAAAAAGTTCATATTAACAATAACAGTAAAAAAGATAGCGTTAGAGTTTTCCAATTGAAATGCCAATTTCTATGTAGCATGACATAGATTAACATTAAAAGTGGGCAACTTCAAATCTATTTTTAGTGATTAATAAATGCATTTTACCAATTATTATTATTATTATTATTTTTTGTTCTAAAAATACTTATTACAACTTATAAGTTTCATAGGGGTTCCCTTTCTTTACCCTGTTATACTCACCAACCATCTCTAACACCTTAACTCCTGAGCACCTCTTGGTCACCTCTGACAAGCCCCCAGGTCTATCCCGATCGGGATGAACGATCCATTGCCAGTCCCGGTGGGCTATCAGAATCAGTGAGTGGGCTCTGTCACGGCCAACCTTGTCAGATGGGTCCTCGATAGACATGGATTTGGTAGGAACTACATCAACCCTGGGGCCGAAAATATCACCCTCCCATTCGCCAACCACAGTCAACAGATTCAGATCATTTTCCTTGTCCTTCGTGGGTAAATTCTTTATCCATGATTGGTTCCATTTTTCGGCCAAACGACTCAGGAAGAAGTATCGAAAGCTCGCTGGGATCGACTTCAAAAAGTACAAGGCCTAAATTCCAGTAGTTCCATACCCGTTTCGTAAATACGGTTCAGCTTCTCAGATACGTTTAAAACCCGATACGCCATGGGCGTGAGATTGATCGGGGCAAGTTGATAATGCACTCCTTCATTAATCCCGACATCGGGAACCTAAGCCCAAGGCTCAAGTACCAGGGATGAATCCGCACGCACGGTCGGTTGGGAAAGATGACTCAGGCAATTCTTCATCCACGTAGGTACATCATATAGGTTCCAGAATCAAGATGCAGCCACCCAGCACATCTTGGTGTGGTTCAACAAACTTCTCGATTGCAGCGTCGTATACCATGAACGGCAGCATTGGTGGGCACGATCTAGAAGTGTTGGAGATGCAGGGGGCATTCGGCAAAGCCACAACGACATGACAAAATAGAAAAGTGCTGCGAATTTTTGGAAAAATTAGTAAGGATGACAGTGGAAGACTAAACGAAAAGGACTTTTAAATACCGCATTCGAGGCCCAACATGAGGCGCTAGGTGATTAGAGCGACGAGCCACGAGACACGCTACTCCCAATAGACGGCCGATGACGGCCCAACGTTAGATCGCCCCATGGAGTGACGACTCCAGGCAAGATCACCTATAGATCTAACTAGTGCGTAATACTCGCGCGTTGCCGCGGGAATTTGGAAAAGCTTTAACTGGAAAAGGAGGATTACATTCAGTTACAAAACATAGAAATTCCTGGTACAAAGATACAAAAAATATTATAATAACTGAATTTCTTCTAATAACCCCATCTAATATACTTTGTGTTCCAACTTGTGCATACAAAAAAGGAGGAGATGCTGTTGTATGGGGATGCAAAAAATATTGTTGAGTTTTGGGCAAAAATAGATATGTACAGGTTTTTTTAAACATGTTAAACATGATTTAATATACATGAACAAAACACGGTAAACATTCTTGATTGGAGTAGTGAAAGGTGTCTTCAGCCCTTGTTGTCATTGATAAAGCAACCTGAACAAAGAGGAATAGAACAGAACATATTTAGATAGGATTTAGTATCACATTTAAACGGTAATCGAGGAAAAGATAAAACAACTTGAAAGCATACTAACCTAATCATTGTTTACAGTGCTGTTGTGTGGCTTTGCTTGAGCAGGAGATGGTTTTTTTTTTTAATAACTTGATGGGAACCTCATCACATTCTCTTGGATCAACTTCTTAAATTTCTTCAGATTCACTGATTTGAATGATTATGCAACATTAATATAGTTGTTCACAGAAAGAAGAAAAGATGATTCCTAATTATAATTCATAGTATTGAAAATGTTTGATATGTAAATTTTAAGAAAGTTGAAGTGAACACATGGAAATTTTTGGAAACATGATGTAAAAATATAAACATCATATTTGAGAATAGTATGAAATTAGATATCAAACCTTTGTTCACTAGGAATGAAAAGCACTCTTCTCACAAATTCTCTTTTTCGTTTGTAAGATTGATCACTTGGTTCAGGTGTTGGTGTTGAGGTAGAAGAGGATACAATGGTGGAACACACTATCAACTCCTTTGATAACGTTTGTGGAGTGATTGGTTCGATGCTTGTATCTTCGGATACATTGTGAATGAGCACATCGATTGAGTTGAAGTTATTTCTCCTATTTCCAAACCGCAAGTGGAAGATTTTCTTTTGACCAATCAATCTTAAGAATTTGTTTGGCAGTTGTTGTTGGTCAACTAACATTTGATTCATAACCAAATCTTTGCATGCCATACCAAAGAGCTTTTCACCAGATTTCCCAATTATTAAAGCACTGATTTCATTAGTAACATATTTAAGAATCAAACTGACTTTATACCTGTTATTAAAAGTCAAGGTACTTAACTTTTATTGGTGGTATAATTCATTATTAACACACATAATTAAAATGTTGTACCAAAACAGATTACAAATGAGAAGTAATGATGATTGTATTAAATGCATGTAGAATCAAATCTGATGAAAGACCTTAAAAAAAAAAAAAAAAAAACAGAGATTTATGTATTAAATCTTACCAAGGTGTTGGAATCTGGTTTGGGTGCTTTTGGCAAGTGAGTTG